AAAAAAAAATGAAAAGAACCCGGAGTGAAAATTATGTTGTAGCTTAGATTTCAAATACCCACTGAAGAGATGAAAAGTACCTCCGATGATAGTAAGAAGTTCAGAAACTCGTGAGTAATTTCCGGATCCCGAGAGGAAGCTAATGAGCCTAAGAGAAAATTGGGAAATCCATTAATAACTGCAGAAAATGTCACGATGAATATTCTAACATTTAATAGTTTAAACAAATCGTACCTAATATTCTCTTTTTCTCCTGGCTAACGTCGGTTTCTCTGTAAATCCTCAGAAGAGATTCGTAGCCGAGTCTGTCTGATGTACTCACATTCTGCATTACGGCCACATATACTGCCTGAAATATTGGGAAGAAACAAAAGTATGCTCAATAAAATACACATGAGTTCCGAAAAATTTAATTAAATGAAAATAAAAGTTTTAGAATATAACCCTTCTCAAATCAGGAGGAAGAACAAGTGTGTTCCTATCATCCAAAAATACATGAAACCGCCTATTGGCCTCGCCTAGTGTCTGTTGATGCCCAAACAAAGCTAGTGCTGATAAGAGCTCTCCCCTTAACATGGCATCGAGGTGGCTTTCCCCTTGCTTAGGGTCCCACCCAAGCCTCCTGATTGAAAAAAAAAAGGTTTAAATAATATTACAGACGTTTTATGTGAGATACACGAGTTTTATATTCTGTATTAAGGGGAACAGGAAAACAGAAGGGGAAAAAAATACTTAGCAGAAATCTGGAAAAGATTGATGAAAAACAGTTTCAAGTCGGCCAGCAAATCAGGCACAGCATCAGCCACTATGCTTGCCACTTTAAAAGATATCTGCAGAAACAAGAAATTAAAACCTAATAATAATAATAATAATAATAATAATAATAATAATAATAATAATAATAATAATAATAATAATAATAATAATAATACTAATAATAATAAAAACAAGAGGACATTACAGTGATCAAGTTGGATAAAACTGTGTAATCAAGCTCCTCTCTGAAAGCACCCATCAATGCAAGCAAAGAGCTCAAAGATTGCTGGCATGCCATGGACAATGAATAATAGTCATCCAAAATTCCTGCACGAATAAATATACTTATGTTAAAATTCCCCTCAAACTTTCAACAAAATATATAAAAAGAAAATAAAAAGAATCATGATCACCATATTTATCACTGATTGACAAAGACTTTTTCTCTATTGCATCCCTGAGCCTAGCCGATAGCTCTTCGTCATACTTTACCCGAAAGAAAGCAGTTTGTCCCACATTGACTTTGATCCAAGGGCGGGCAGATGAGTTTGAGCCACACAATAATTCTTTAATATCAAGAGTCTCACTTTCCGTTTGCAGCAAGAAATGTTTACGAGTGTCATAAGAGCCACAACACAGAGTCACTGGAACAATCCATTGCCCTTCACCTCGAGAACCACTCAACAAAAACTGTGTCTGCAAAAGAAAGAAAAAAGTAAAGTCAACAGTGTTTAGAAAACATATCTCAGTTCTCGAAGTTGGCTAAAAAAAATAACCTGTTCAAACTCCAACTTTTGGTCTTTGATTTTCACGGACACTACAGGATAGCCTTTCTGTTTGGTCCAAGAGTCCATCAGTATACTCACGGGCTCACCAGATTCCTCCTGAAGTACTGACCATAAATCTTCTGTTTTCACAGTCGAGCAAGCGTATCTTTTGATGTAAGTAGCAAGTGACCTCTAGAAGATGTTTTTAAAATGAACACAACCAATACATAGAGAGGAAAAATCAAGATAAGGATGTTGTTATGAACAGACCCTCTGGATCTAGTTATAGGACCCTGAACATTGAAATCTGGTTGTTGATTACTAGAACTTTGAGTTTTTCTTCCCTTATAACCTATTTTGATTATAATTTTTGGGCTCGTTAGAGAGAACCCAAGTACCCAACGATCTCCAAGAGTTAAAAGACTCAAGAACTTTTATCAGAATTTTTCTCCCTTTCTTATTTCTTAAACCAGTACTTAAACTTACAAACTTACAGAAATAACTGCTTCTAAACTGCTACTAAACTGCTTCCTAAGTTTTAGCAGTTTGAATTATTCATAATATATATATATATCTAACCAACAAGTGCCAACAATCTACACAATACATATGCATAATATTCTGCCTTATAAACACCTGGCAGAAACTAACAACCACACTAAAAGATTAATAAAATATCATAACAGAGGATTGACCAAACTTAATTCTTAATTCTTCTTTGATCTTCACTGGTAAACTTTGAATGGTAGAACTTTAACATTTGCTGACAGATCTTGGACCATAACATCACTTCCTCCCTTTGAAGAGCGCTTGTCCTCAAGCGCAAAATGAGGATAACGAAGCTGCATATGCTCTGCAGATTCCCAAGAAGCATCAGCGGGAGAAAGTCCTTCCCAATGAATGAGAATCTCCTTTAGGCCATCTTTAATTCTCGAATCCAGCACAGCTTGAGGAGTTGGAATAGGAACACCTTATGAAGAAGAGGTAATGTAGAAGAACAAGTTTCAGTACCATGGAACTTCTTCAAACAAGAAACATGAAAAACAGGATGAAGTTTAGAGCCTTCAGGAAGCTGCAATTTGTAAGCCACCAAACCAATTCGATCAATAATAGGAAAAGGCCCATAAAAACGAGGAGCTAATTTCTGATTACGCTTAAACCCCATTGAAACTTGACGATAAGGCTGAAGCTTTAAAAGCACCATGTCCCCCACATCAAAAGACACATCTCTATGTTGAGAATCATAATAAGTCTTCATAACATTTTGGGCATGAACCAGACGTTCCCTCAACTCCTGCAAAACCACATCTCTAGCACGCAACTCATAATCCACAGCCTGAATTCGAGATAATCCTGGAGAATAAGATAATAGACGAGGTGGTTGGCGTCCATAGACAACTTCAAAAGGAGTGGCACGAAGAGAGGAATGGAAGCTTGTATTATAACAATATTCAGCCCAAGACACCCAATCCACCCAACCTTTGGGACGGTCACCTGTGAAGCAACGCAGATACATCTCCACTGTACGATTGACCACTTCAGTTTGGCCATCTGATTGAGGGTGGTAAGCAAAGCTAAAAGACAACTTGGTGCCACTAAGCCGGAATAATTCCTTCCAAAAAGAACTAGTAAAAGTGACATCACGATCACTCACGATAGATTCTGGAATCCCATGTAACTTAAAAATATGATCAAAGAACAACCTCGCTACCGAAACAGCAGTGTAAGGGTGAGATAACGGAAGGAAATGAGCATACTTTGAAAATCTATCAACAACCACCAACAAGATAGATTTCCCGTGAGAAAGTGGCAACCCTTCAACAAAATCTAAAGAGATGTCAGACCAAACCTGAACTGGAACTGGAAGTGGCTGCAATAAACCTGCTGGTTGGAGGTGTTCA